ATTCCTCCTGAACTCCTCCCAAGTCTCCTCCTGCCCTCTCTGCAAAATCATCCAAGAACTTTATGGCTAATCCCTGTCAGGCAGTCACTGATTGCTTCCTAGATTGTTGCCTTTTGGCACAGTGGAATGGCTGTATGGACAGTTCTCCTGCAACAGTCCTGCCTGTAGACTGTCAGTATTTCAGTGTCTTACATAGTTCTTTTTTTTTTATAATGGGATAATGGCCCATTGTGCTCCATAATTCATGACTGTGTGTCTTCATGGATGATCTATTTTTATTATTGGTGTTAAGAGAAACAATAAAGTTTTGTTTTCATTTTCCCACAAATCTTGGTTTTCTATAAACCTCTTTCTAGAAAACTGTATCCTACAGGACCTGACTACTGCCTTCCTGCCTGAACTGTGCTGTTAGCCCTATAGTTTACTTTGTAACCCAAGTCTGTCTATCTTTTTCTTTCTGCCCCTTTTAATTTTTTTTTTTTTTTTTTTTTTTTTTTTTTTTGAGATAAGGACTCTATGTAGCCCTGGTTGGCATGGAACTTGCTATGTAGATCACATTGGCCTTGAACTCATAGATACTCACCTGTCTCTGCCTCCCAAGTAGTGGGATTAAAGGTGTGTGCTACCATAACATCTAAGTCATTTAGAACACGCCTGCTCTCTACTCACCCATCACAGTCAGTTCCATAAAACAGTACAGCTCTTTGGACTTGTTTGTACTACTAGACTTACAACTCCATTTTTTAAATATGTTTATCTACTTGACTCCTTTGGCAGAATTTGAGGCCCCCTGAGGTCAGGTACTGTGTCTTATTAATTTCTGGTTCCCTGTTGCCTCTGTCTGGCAGACAGAAGGTATAAAATGCATGTTAATTGTATTTAATTGAATCTGTGGAATTAGTCCCCTTGGCACTAACTCTAAGAGCTGGAATTACTGGGCCAGAGGGTACAAATGTCCCCTGTACTTGCATATTGTTTTCTCAAAGGTCTAGAAATTCACAGTGCCAGCTGAAATGAGTGAGTGGACCATATTCCTGTTACCTGGCCAGCTTATCATTTAAGAGCTGCTAATTAAGTAGGTGTCTAATAATATTTTAAGAGTTATTTGATTTGCATTTCTTTGATTACTGCTAGTATGGGACATCTTCTCAGGTGTCTGTTTCCTGTTTCTATTTCTCCTCATGGAAATTTCATGTTCTTTGACTATTTGTCTACCCAACTGATTAGATAACTAAGATATAAAAATATATTTGAATAAGCTCCCTTTGGCTTTAATAGTATTTATTTGTTTTGTATATGTATTTGTGTGTGTGTGTGTGTGAGTGCAGTATTTGCACCACATTCATGCAGGAGCCCAAAGAGGTCAGAAATTGGTGTTGAATCCTCTAGAACTAGAATTATAGGCAGTTGTGAGCACCATGTAAGTTCTGGGAATTTAACCTGGGTACTATGCAAAAGCAATAAATGATTTTAATCACTGTGTTATTTTTCTAATCTGCTCCCTTTCCATTTTACTTGCTATCCTGTAGCCTGATATTTTAAAAATATGTTTTATTATCTAAAACATTTTTTATTTAAATATATTTGATCATATTCCTCCCCTCCCTGTATGTCCAGATCTTTCTCCCACCCAACCCATTAAGTTCTTTTTCATTTAACAAACCCAAAACCCAATAAAACAACAAAACTTCCAAACTTAGAAATCAAAATAGAACGATACCCAAAAAGAAAATGAAACCAACCCCCCAATAATAAAAAACCCACCAAAGCTGTAAACAAGCAAATACACACACACACACACACACACACACACACACACACACACACACACACACACACAAACTGTGGAGTTCATTATCTGCTGGTCACCTACTCCTGAACATGAGACTTGCCCTGGAGTGGTTGATATACAGTGTCACTGTATTGGAGAAAACTGATTTCCTTCTCCTAGCAGGTTGTTAATCTTTACTTTAGTGGCTAGGCTTACATTCATTCATTTATTCTTTTTAAAAAATATAACAAAGTAAAATGTAATAAGATAAAGTAAAGTCTATCACACTGAAGTTGGACAAATTAACAGAAAGAGCCAAAGAGAAGGCAGAAACCCATTTGTTTGCACACTCAGGAATTCCATAAAAACATTAAACTGGAAGCCATGATATAAGTGTAGAGAGGACTTGCTGAAGGTCTGTGTATGCCCTGTGCTTGCTGCTTCAGTCTCTGTGAGTTCATATGTGTATTGCTTGTGTTGTTCAGAAGGCCTTGTTTTCTTTGTGTTCACCATCCCCTTTGGCTCTTACATTCTTTCCACCTCCTTTTCCTTGGGGTTCCTTGAGATCTGAGGTGAGGAATTTGATGGAGACAACCCATTTAGGGATGAATGTTCCAAGATCTCTTACTCTCTACATAATATCTGGCTGTGGGTCTCTGTATTTATTTCCATCTGCCAAGACCACTACTAGGTATGGTTAAAGAGAAGGTTTTATGGAGGGAAAGACCACCTAGAATCATCTAGAGGAGTCCAGACTGAACATGGCAAGCAGAATAAACCAGGCCATGAGAGGATAGAGAGAAAGGTAGAGTGAAAGAGGAAGAGGTCAAGAGAGCACATAGTCAAAATGGCTAAGATTTACATAGGAAAGAGAAGCTGGGGGAAGGGAAGGTTTAGGGCATGGGTAAGAAGTATTGAGCTGGCACTTAGGACCAGGTCAGCTTTAATATGCTAATAGGCACTTCAGTTAGCCATATGTCCTGAGTTTCTTTGAGACCTAACACAGGGCGAAGCTTCTCTGATGATGGTTGAACAAGGCACTGATCTATGAGTATAGCAGAATATCATTAATCACTACATTTTTCTTTCCTTTCTTCCTTCCTCCCCCCACCCCCAATCCTTTTTTAAGATCGGTATTATTTGGTTTTGCCCTAGATACCTCAGCTATCAAGTTTCAGGTTCTTGGTCACCTAAGCAGTGTCCAGTATGGGTTTCATCTTGTGGAGTGGGCCTTAAATCAGATCAATTATTAGTTGGTTACTACTGTCAGCATTGTGCCACCATTGCCCTAACAGATCTTGCAGGTAGTACACCATTGTAGATAAAGGGTTTGTGGCTGACTTGATGTTTATGTTTCTCTTTTGATAGAGTATAGTGTATCTTCCTATAACAAAGACTCTGTAACATAGGGGTGAAGGTTTTATGTAGGAACCAGCTCAACATCTCCATGTTCTGGGAGTTGTGAAGATATTTTCCTCCACAATGGGGTTTTGTGTCAGTTTGTGGAGAGCAGCCACAACAGCCTGATTTATTTTTTTTGGGGGGGGGGGTGATTCCAATAGTGCCTCTTTGACCAATATCTCAATTAGATGTAACCCATTTCCAGTATTGGAAGCTTCATTTGGTGATAATAATTAACCACTTGGTACTCCGTCTCTCCCATTATTTGGCAATTTCATTTAGATCATCTTCATATTTTTGTTTATTTGTAACATATTTGTAACAGTATTAAGTTTCCATACTTCCCCTCAAATACCCTTTAATTTTATCTGGCTCTCCCCATAGTCCTTCTCACTATCTCCCTTTACTCCTCTCTCCATTTGATACCCCCATTCCAGATATCCCCTAATCTTTCTAGGGCTTTTATCATGCATTTCTTCTCCCTCCGGCAATCCTATTGTTCTTAAATTTAGTCTTTTAATAGTGTCCCAGATTACCTGGATGCTTTGTGCCAGGAGTTTTTAGATTTAGAATGTTCTTTGACCCATTTATCTATTTCTTCTATTTCATCTTCAGTGCCTATGTATTGCCTATGTATTGCCACGAGGTTGTGGCTTAGCCATAATCCAGGATGTTACTCATCATGCAGCATGGCATCTGTCAGCGGCCTCTCTCTCCTGCCATCTTCTGGTCTGGTAGCCCTGCCAATGCTTCCTGCCTGGCTACTGGCCAATCAGTGTTTTATTCATCAACCAATAAGAGAAGCGTATATACAGAAGGAAATCCCCATCATCTCCTCTTTTCTGTCTAAATAAAAAGAACAGTTTTAACTTTAACATAATAAAATTATATATAACTAAACAGTTACCAAGTAAGAACTATGGGTAACAATATTTAGTCCATTAACATCTGGAAAAATGTAAAGAAAATATTCAATTATCTCTCCTATCTTTGTAAGTCTCAAGTTTTATGTATAACTTATCTTTTATCATAACTAAGTAAAATCATAATTAAAACTGTATTCAACTCCATCAAAGATCACAGAAGGATAATATATAAACTCTAGAATTGACAGAGACAACTCACTGCCAGGACAGTCACCCAAAGTTTCTCTGTAACATTGGAGCATCCATCTTCAGCCTATAGGCCATATTGTGTTTGGCAGACTTCTCAGTAAAGCAGGAAATTTTAAACTGTGCCTGTATTGGCAGTTTGTCTGTCATTTTTCTGTGTGTCCTGCAGAATGTCTAGCAGACTCTTCAATGAAGCAGGAACCTTGCAGGAATGTTCCATTTTGTTTTGGCAAGTTCAGCAGTCTCTTTCCTGTGGATCCTGAATGTCCAGTTTATACAGCATACAGTCAAACAGTCCAAGCAAGAGCAGTTTATTGCCCAAATGGCTAGTCTCACCATATTGAAAGCAACTCCATATGGCATTTCTTCGATGTCTTTCTTTATGACATAATTGGCATTGGCATTGCCAGGAGCAGTTGTGTCTTTCTCATAAAAAACCCTAATAAACCATTTTAAATTCCACATTATTTTTCTTTTTCTTTTTTTCTTTTTTTAAGAATATGTGAATTTTTAAATCCTTCTTTACAGGTTACCTAAACCACTTTTGATTAAGAAAACTATAGAAAGTTAGTAACTGCCACAAGTGGATGCCAGGTGGTGGCACGTGTCAGTTTTCCACAGAATCCTACTTTGAGGGGTATCTGGATACACTGCTCCGGGGCTCTGCTCAAACTTGCTGGAATCACTCATGGCAGATTTTAGTTTACAGGTCATTTTTAACCATATTTCTTTATAAACTCTTCAGCATTCTTACAGATTTTTTTTTTACCGTCCTTAGAGTATTCTTCAGCTAGGCCATCTTGGAGTGGGTGCTCAGGCTGGGAGTCCTTCACCAGTGATATGAGGGTCTGGATTACTTGGTCAGTCTTGGTAGCTGGATTCCAGTTTTCAGCACTAATTACCAGCAGACACACCTGCCCCTTCTCATCAATGTTAGGGTGGTAGATCTTTGTTTCATATGTGATCGTGGGTGGTTTGAATGGATACTCTGTTGGGAAATTGATATCAAGTCTGAAGGCCCCCTTGTCATATGGAGGGTCATCAGGAACAAAAGTCCTTGTCAAGTCAATAAATTAGCTTCATCAACCTGGATATTACATAAGTTTTTCATTCCACATTTGCAGATCTCTTCAAGCTCCTTCATCAGCCTTCTGCTGGCCGACATCTTGGATCTGGTGCTGCTGCTTCCACAAATAAATTCCATATTCTTTAGGGCTTTGAAAGGTTTGAAGATTATCCATCTTAAATATATCTCTTTATATCTAGAAAACTAGCTAACATAACTATAAGACTATTATAGGTGACCATATATAATCTGCATTTAAATATACATTTTTAAATGAGCAATTTAAACACAATTCCCAGAGAAGAAATATACATAGAATAATATTGACCTTAACTTTGTATCAATAAGCCAAAATTCATACAATGTAAAGTATTCATTTCTATATCATATTCCATCTTTTTTCTTTACAAAGAGATTGACTGTGTTCATTAACCATTATAACAAACCCTGTTTAAATGAAAACAAACATTTATAAATAATATTTGGGAATGTGGGTATAGTTCTTCCCAAATTGCTTCCTGCAGTTTGGGGGTGCTGTCAATCCAATGGGGATCCTGAGAAAACCCAGAAACATGTCCAGATCTTGGCTATAGCAGTCTGAGGCTACATCCTCTCAGCTGTTTTGGATGTTGGATCACCTGGGTCACTGCTTCAGGGACTCATGGTTGGTCAAACTATATTAGTTTAAAAGGAATCCACAGCTTTTCATCTTCTGAAGTAACAGTATTTAGAGTTAAATTTTGAACTCAAGGCACTTTTAAAATATATAAGTTAGATTAATCTAGCAGCATTTATAATGAAATGTCTTTTAGTAGCTGTTGCTCTTTCCTCAGAAATCAAACAATTAAAAGACAACACAATAACATACAATATCCAGACTCTCTGTGAATTTTCCATTTTTATACTGCCTTTTAAAAACTACTCTATTTCTTTTATTTTTATTTTTTTATCTTTTGAGACAGGATTTCTCTGTGTGACTTTGTCTGCCCTTGAACTCTGTACACCAGGCTGGCCTTGAAATCTCAGAGATCTGCCTGCCTGCCTCCTGATTGCTGTGATTAAAGGTATTTTTTCCTCTCTCTCCTAAGCCTACATATATTTTTAAACACACTGTAAACCATTTAGAGGTTTTCTGGTTTTTTTTTTTTTTTTTTTTTTTTCTTGTCTGTTAATCTGTCTTTACTGCATATATCTAAATAGAATGGCTAAATTAAAGTGGGCATTTTAGCTGTTGGATTTCCAACATTTATCGCCAGCACTAGGAGCTGTGCTCACTACCTGATTTTTTTTTTTCCTGAAAGTATGGAGTGTTTTATTCTTTTTTTCTCCAGATCTTTTTTATTATTATTATTTTAAATTTTACATGTCGATCCCAGTTCCCTCTCCCTCTCTCCCTCCCTTTTACCCTCTCCCCCCCTCACATGCACCCTGACCAACCTCCCCTCCCATCCCCCACCCCAATTCCACACGTAGGGCAATGCCATCCAGGTGGGATCATGTAAATCTGTCAAGTCATTTGAAGTACGGACTAGGACTTCTCTCCTGTCTCTAGGTTAAGGGACACATCCATGGGGGATGTGTCTGCAAGGTCCTTTTGTGCACCAGGAATATATCCTGGTTCGACTGTCTGAGGTCCCTTAAACTGTTCAGTCCTTCTAGCAGAGACCCATATTCAGGGGATCTGAGTCAGTCACATGCTAGATTCCCAGCTATCAGTCTGGGGGCCCATTAGCTCCTCCTTGTTCAGGTCAGCTGTCTCTGTGTGTTTCTGCAACCTGGTCTTGTCCTCTCTGTCTGCATCTGGATTCTGGTTCGACTCAGTGTTTAGTTATGGGTGCTTGCTTCTGTTTCCAACAGGTACTAGATGAGGGCACCATGATGGTGGATAAGTTAGTTGTTGATCTCACTCTCCGGGAAGAGCATTTATGGTAGCCTTTCCACGGTTGCTCAAATTGTTAGTTGGTGGCAGTCTTGTAGGTCTCTAGACCTTCCTTTAGGTTCAGTTTTCTCTTCAAACAATGGCTCCCTCTTTTATGTTCTCTCTCTCCCTTTCTCCCCCCCCCCTCTCATCTTCTATTCCTACCCTGACTCAATCTTCCTAGTTGCATGTGCTTTCCTCTCCTCCCCTTCTACTTCTCTCTCCATTCACTGCTCCTCCCCATTTCCCATGTGCTCTGGGGGACTTATTCCTTCCCCCTTCTGTGAGGGACCTTATATGAATCCCTTAGAATACACCTTGTATCCTAGTTCCTCTGGTAGTGTGAATTACAGGCTGGTGATCCTTTGCTCTAGGTCTAAAATCCATATATGAGCGAGTACATACTATGTTCCTCTTTTTGTGACTGAGTTACCTCATTCAGGATGGTTTCTTCAAGTTCCAGCCACTTGCCGGCGAATTTCAAGATACCATTATTTTTTTCTGCAGAGTAGTATTCCATTGTGTAGATGTGCTCTTAATCACTTCCAAGTTGGAGATCCAGATTACATTAGATGCCACCACACAGAAACCTTGAGACTCTGTGAAAAGGCTCACTTTGCAGCTGGTCCAGACTATGTCCTCCTCTTCTGGACCCACCCTCACGCCACTCCAGGTTATAGGACCCAGGGACAGCCTCTTACAACTGCCCATTTTTATTTCTCTCTTGTTGCTTACTGTTGGAAAAATTGTTACTTTTGTTATGAATGCTGTCCAGATAGCTTAGATAGCAGTACAGGAGCCTCCGGAGCCAAGAGGAGGCTGCTTCTTAATTTCCATAGTTCTAAGATTAGAACTATTGACAAGAGAAAAAGGGGGGAGGGAATGAAAGACCAAAAAGTAAAGTTAAATGAAGGACGGTCTGACCTGGAAAGCTAACCAATATCTGTTCCTTGGAATTTTCTAGCTTCCTTTCACCAGGCCCTGAGATAAGAAGAATTCACACTGCCCCTCCTTTACTGTGAGTCAACAGGTGATAAATAGGGTCGTTAGGAAACAAAGAGATAGCTGCAACTCCGGTTTGGCCAGAGAAAATTAATTAGCACACCCTGAGGCCCTAAGGTCTATTGACCCTAATAGCAGACCAACCGGCCTCCAAGGGTCACATACTCAAAGGACAGAGGGTCCCACCCCCTCCCTAAGCTTGTGGGTTTGCCTTTAAAAACACCTGGGCCCAGGGGAGGGGACTTCTCTCTAGCCTGCGTGCTGGAGGAGCTCGTTTATGCAAACGTTTCCTGTTCATTAAAGCCTCTTGCGTTTTGCAGCAACTGGACTGGACATTGAGTTCTTGGGTTATCGACCGAACCTGGAAGATTCCTCATTCTGAGGGTCTTACAGTGCCACATCTTCTTTATCCATTCTTCAATTGAGGGGCATCTAGGTTGCTTCCAGGTTCTTGCTATTACAAATAATGCTGCTGTCAACATAGTTGAGCACATGTCTTTGTTGCATGGATGTGGATCATTTAGGTATATGCCTAAGAGGGGAATTGTCAGGTCCTGTGGTAAACTAATTCCCATTTTCCAGAGGAACTGCCATACTGATCTCCAAAATGGCTGTATGAGTTTGTACTCCCACCAGCAGTGGAGGAGTGTTCCCCTTTCTCCACATCCTCTCCAGCATAAGTTGTCATTGGTGTTTCTAATTTTAGCCATTCTGGCAGGAGTAAGATGGTGTCTCAAAGTTGTTTTGATTTGCATTTCCCTGATAGCCAAGGATGTTGAGCACTTTCTTAAGTGTCTTTCAGCCTTTTTGATTTCCTCTATTGAGAGTTCTTTCTTCAGTTCTGTACCCCATTTTTTAATAGGGTTATTTGACTACCTCGACTCCTGTCTGTGCCGCCATCAAGCAGTTTGTAGCACACTGCCCATAAACCTTTTTTGTCTATATGAATATAATCTAAATCTGCCATGCAGCATGCTGTGTGGCTTGGAGATGCAGTCACTGCTGCCACCAAGAAGCATGCCACAAACTGTTCATAAACACTGCTTAATTGTTTAATAGCAGGCCTCTTAAAATGGCCATGTGGATTTTGCCCTTATGGCTGAGTCAGGAAGCCTCTCTTAAAGGAGCCAAGAGCCTCTAGCAAACAGCCCACTCAAGAAAATGCTGCTACTAAGAAGCTGTGCTTGGCTTTGTCCTTTTGTTTTGAGAGTCCCCTTTTACACTTTTGTCAGGTTTTATGTGGGAAGTCTGACCCCATGTGTGAGTGCCATTCTGTAGATGAAAGCTTCTGTTCTGCCTGGTCTTGCTACCCTTCAGGCCCTAAATAAATAAATATATATATATATATATATATATATATATATATATGTATATAAATTATTAAAACTGTTTGGCTGAAGGCTAGGGCTTCTTACTGGCTAAATAATCTAAATATTTCCATGTGCTCTTGGCTTACCCAGTAATGCCCTGGCAGTTGCTCCTTCTGCTTTTACATGGCATCCCTCTGGTGGCCTCTCTCTGCCTTCCTCTCCCCAGCCTTCTCCTGGTCTGGTAGCCCCGCCTATGCTTCTTGCTCTGCTACTGGCCAATCAGTATTTTATTCATCAACCAATAAGAGGACATCCCCCATCAGATTTTCTTCTATTTCTATTTTCAATTTCAGGTCTTGAATGGTTTTATTCATTCCTTCTGCTATTTGTGTTTTCATGGATTTCTTTAATGGATTTATTAGTTTCCTCTGGATCATGATCATATTCATAAAGGTTGTATATGGTCTTTTATTTGTGCTTCTTTTATCATAATATTGTTATTGCTTATACACTCACTGGAGCATGGTCAGACTCCCAGTCTGACTATTTGTGTTCCCCACTGTGCCATAACAGAAGTGTAGAGAGCTACACTTGAGCATCCTTATCATAATTTTTAAAAGTTCTCTTCCATGGTTTCCTGTCTAAGTTGTTACATTTTTTGGGTGTGGATGGCTAAAGGGATTATCTCTGAAGCCTCTATGTTCCTCTTTTCTCAACTGTGAGTCTGCAGTCATGGATATCACTGCAAAACCAACTTCCTTGCCCTTTACAGTCAGTCAGTAGGAGCATGGATCATGGACCATGGACTCCCTCATGGTTTCCTTTGTTAACACCTGTCACAGACATCAGCATGGTCTCCTATTGCAGTA